ATATTGCCTGGCTGGTAGACACACTCACGCTGTGTGAGCGTGCCTACCAGCCAGGAAGTTCACAACTATGTACTGATACTCCTAATAATAATAAAACTTACCTAATTAGAAAATACTGGACATTATATATGTCCAGTATTTTCTCAATTTGTTTCCTGGACAGAACCCTCAAATACCGGATTAATAAAACAGGAGTTGGTAGATTGCCTGGCTGGTAGACACACTCACGCTGTGTGAGCGTGCCTACCAGCCAGGAAGTTCACAACTATGTACTGATACTCCTAATAATAATAAAACTTACCTAATTAGAAAATACTGGACATTATATATGTCCAGTATTTTCTCAATTTGTTTCCTGGACAGAACCCTCAAATACCGGATTAATAAAACAGGAGTTGGTAGATACTGATACAGATACACTCCCTCTCAGGAGTGTCCTCTTCTGGCCCTAGAGGGACGGCTGGGAGCTGCCAGAACCCCGGCATAGAGAGGGGGGAGGGGAAATGGGGCTGAGGGCTGCTTGAGCCCATAGGCATCACACAGCTACACAGAATACTCTGAAATATGGGGCAATTTGGTTCTCCAAATTTTGTGGTGCTCCATGCAGCTGTGTATTTTGTGTATGGGTAGATATGGTCCTGTCCCCATTGACAGAGAAGGTTACAGTTGAAGGAATTTTCAAGAGAAAATACTGATTTACGTAACTTTTTTAAAAATAGTGAATGCCAAAAATAGTAAAGTGTTAATGCCATCAATCTTAAAAAAATATCAATGCCATAACAAGCAGTCAGTCTCTTGCAAAAGCTAAACTCTCATTTAAAAAAAAGCATTAAAATGTAGTTTTATGCTGCAAAGTGACTATGGAAAGATGACACTGTCTTGGTCACACATGTACTCCCAGACACACCAATGTACACCCAATGAAGGCAATGGAACTATACAAGAAAGAAGTCTTCCCATGATGCTCCCAGTAACAGCTCAAAACCCAACTGTTTCAATGGGTTTGCATAGATGTCATTTTAGCGTTTAGAATCTGTTTCTATATAGGAACTTAAATAGCTCCCATTATGGTAGCATAATCATCTGGTGATGATGTGTAAGAGAAGACCCATTCTGACTTTCAGATAGGCAGACATTTTAGGGCTGGTAGTTACAGTGAAAGAGAGTAACATAGCCATATAAAACACAAATTCCATGTTGCTCTTTTTACAGTCACTTTTAAGAGCAAAATCTTCTAAATGTGACATGGTGTTGTTGTTTTCTTGAGTGTGCAAGCAGCCTGAAACATTAGCTTTGAAGGGAGTTAATTTGCTCCTTTCATAGCAATAGTGAACTCTAAAATGTAATGATGAGAATGGTTAATTTTACTGATGATAATTTTAGCAGAAACATACAGTTACTGTGCTTCTCCATTGCCACTAGATGCAACAGCAGATCTTGGAACAGGGGATATCTAATTACAGTAGAGTCCCTATTATCCGACCTAAACGGGACCAACAGGTGGTTGGATTACCGAATATGTTGGATGATAGGGACTCTACTGTAGCCTGGCCCCATCCCTGCCTAGCCCTGGCCCCTTCTCTCCCTGCAGCTCCCAGGCGCCTGGGCCCCACGTGCTGCCCTGTGCCTCTCCTGGAGCCGCTGATGCCTCTCCTGCCAGCATCGCTTTGTCCCCGGGAGCTGCAGGGTCGGATAAAGCGGAGTGTCGGATTACTGAAGGACGGATAATCTGGACTCCACTGTACTGTCAGGTGTTTTCTGGGTGGGGAATAAGGTTATGCCCACCATCCCGAAATGTCAGATCACCTCTAGCTGTTTACAAGTAGAAAGATTTATCTCCATCAAATGACAAAAATTAAACTACTTCCTACTTCTTTCTTGTTGTCAAAAGCTATGGGCAAACCAAAATAATGCATGCTTTCACTTAGAATTAAAGTGGCCTAAATTCCCATTTAACTTAATTCACTTCCAAAGTGAAACAGAGTGAGAGGTGAATGGAAGAAGTTCTCATGTTTAATTACAGGCTGTCTACAGGCTGAGGAAGTGAACACTCCACTTCTAAACCTTCTGAGTGTGATCTTCTTAATCATAAGGCCTCTGTGGTTTCACATTTAGTAAAAGCTTAAATTCCACAAAAACTAACATGTAAGATCCATTCAGTGTCATTTAAAAGTTAGCAAACTTTTCTTAGAGAACTGGATATATTTCTTTAGAGAATAAGGACTTACCTTAAAACTCCATTTGTCACCAACTTGCCTGCAAAGGTTTAGATCTACTTCAGTCACACAAAGCGACAGTCCCGGTGTCCGACTGCCATCTGGTGCAGTCACATAACTCGAGCCATAAAAATATCCCAAGTCATGGTGGGCTTAATAAATCAAACAACATATAATGCGATGAGCAAATAAGTATAAAACTTCACATGTTCTTTCCCCTGAGAATCTCAAGCTTGATTCAACCCTTTTTTTCACCCAGCTGTGCCCTCACTTAACAAGCCACAGGAACACTGAGCTCTAACTTTTAGTATCATAAACAGGAGAGCTTTCATATTGACAAACAGGAATCCATGCAACTTTCATCAGCTTTTGAAAATGTATTATTGTGCTTGCTAATTATTACATTTATTTGCATTTAAATAAGGGCTTTGTTTCCCCCTGAAAGTGCTGTGACATCGCAATATGTTTCAGTGCTAATGACAGAATTCACAGCATTAGGTCTTCAGTGCAGGACTAAAGTATAAAACACTGAGATAGGAAAAAGAAAAATCTTATTAAAAATGCTAAGTCTTCAACAGGATCAAAGGACTAGCCCTGTATAGTTCTAGAATGTTCAGTGAGGGCAATCAAAGTGAGTGATAACAACCACTGTCTCCCGTCATGCAGCAGCTGCTAACACTCAGCTCCAATGGCAAGCCAATACAAGGATATGTAGCAAATGAGCTGGCTGCAACTCTGACTGAGGCCAGAAAAAACAAGAGAAGATGGTGACTTCCCCTAGGACAAAATGCTAAGTTTGCAACTGAATATTGGTGGGTTACATCTACCCCAAGAGAAAACAATTCAGAATCTCAGACTTCTTTTGGATTTCTGAATAGATCTAGGAATCTAACAGAGTACAACACATTTATTTGACTTTCATAACTTATCCTTTTGTTGAAGCCTACAGTGAACACAACAGTGCAATAGATTGTTCTTTTCTTCTCTTATTTCTGAATTATAATTAGCATTTGCTTTTCCTGGTCATGTACTCACCATTTATAAAAGATCAGAATAAAACTGGTTTGCTCCAGGTATGTCTTTCACTGCAGTTCATTTGGGTTCTTCTTCAGGTGTCGCCCTTCACCCCTTGCCAGTTACACAAAAACTTTTCCTTTGGGTCTGAAGGTACTTTCTAGCCATGCTAGCTGGGGGCTGGATGTATAGGCAAGAGCTCTTGCATTGCTTGTACTTGGGCTCTTAACTCCCCCATTTTGCAGTAAAGATGCAGGCTAAACCACTCATGCACTAACTAGGCATGTAAACCAGTAGTTGACTACTCGACTACCCAGTACACAAGCTTATCGGGTAGTCGAGTGGAGTACTCTACTACTTGCTTTGCCCCCTCTTGCTGCCTCTGTATGAGAGACATCAAGGGGAGAAGGAGGGGAAAAATGAGCCAGGGCTGGGGGAAGCTGGCTTAAAAGATGGTTTCCTCCAGCACTGTTTCTGTGGCGCCACCTGCCCCTCCTTCATTGCCTCTATTAGTGAGGAGAGGGGAAGGGGAAACTGCTCCGAAGCAGTCTCTGCTCGTGGTGGGCTGAGGGTGCCTGGGGGGC